TTCAACGCTTCTAGATTCCATCCCCAATAACGGTGATTTACTGCATAAGATGCCCCAGTATTTCAGACATCATACCTGAATAATGTTAACTTCAGAATCCTTGTCGTCTGCAGACACCCACTGGTCGATGAGGATTTTGCTGTTGACCAGAGCCAGCTTGACCATCAAGTCAACTACATTCACACTGCTGTCTGCGTCCCAACTGTCGGCGACGAGAACTGGCCAGTCGCCCAGGTCAGCGAGGAATGTCCTGACTGGATCCAACCCCTGCAGGTCTATCTGAGCTGTAATAACATCAGAACATGGTTATACTAAGACTGTCTTTGTCTGACGGGCCATGCTGCTGACGTTACCTAACCGGGCTAACGTTAACGGTGACGTCAGCAGCAAGACCTGTCAGATGGAGAATGTCTTGGTTATATGGACCATTTTTGTCTTTATCCTGTTAGTCAACAAGACGGGCCGTTCTCCTGAATTTTTTTAAAGGTGCATGAGATTAGCTCTTCTTCTCTTTAGCTATCTTCTTCTTTTTCTTTATCTTCTTCTTTTTCTGTATCTTCTTCTTCTTCTTCCTCTTCTTCCTCCTCTTCTTCTTCTTCTTCTTCTTCTTCTTCTTCTTCTTCTTCTTCTTCTTCTTCTTCTTCTTCTTCTTCTTCTTCTTCTTCTTCTTCTTCTTCTTCTTCTACTTTAGTCCTCGTTTACCGCTTCGGGGTCAAGGGAGATATAAAGTCCTGCTTCGTGCCTCACTGTATTTGCTCTAGCGGTTGTAAATTAATTGCCGGCTTTCCAGGCCTGTCGCAACTTCACCCCAGCCACGTAGGCCAGGACCTTTCGCGATGACCCACGATGACTTTCATGGCTACCGTAGCAGTCCTGTGGCACAAGACCACACCATACTTCGCCCAGTCCTAGCGATCCCTTACTTTGTCCTCTCACAGACACGGACGTGCAGTTGAACTTTTTAGCGTTTCCCGGCTGTAAACTCCGGTGGAAAGTTCCTGTCGTTCGTCTACTTTTTAAATATTCCAATACATTATCACTACCCCCAACACCACCATTGCCGTCGTCGCGACCGCCGTGACCACCGCTGCTGCTACTGCAACCACTACAAAGTAGTAATACTGCTGGTACTACTTATCACTACTATGTCATTACTACTAATACCATTACTGCTGTCGCTATATCAAACACTACCGAAACCACTATAAATGATAATAATAATAATCATCAAGTGCCTTAGCAACTGGCGTAGGCGTTCCTGAATCTCCGCAGATCTCAGTCTTTGGTGTTCTGGATCAATTCCACTGATAATTTTCCTCTATGCCTCTGTCTTAGGCCATCCATCATCATTGCTCTTTGTCTGTCTCTTTTACCAGTTATCTTTTCACTCTTCACTATATTTATCAGTGCTCCTTTACTGCTTACATGACCAAAGAACTTTGTTTGTCGCCTTTTCATTGTTTAATAGAATATTCTACTTTCATTAGCCATATACAGGCAATCACTGTTGGTTATTCTGGCGGTCCAAGGTATTCGCAACATTCTTCTCAAAAAGCACATCTCAGTTGCCTCCAAACTCTTACCGGAAGTTCAACTGCTCCGATTACACTCGGAGTGGTGCGTCTTATTCAGTATTGTGCGAACGATGATGACTTTCGTAACTGATTGCTTCCATCACCAGTCAGCTATGTCTCTGGTGTCGAACTGTTGGTGGTGGCACATCTGACAGTCATTTATGCACCTACTTTGTGTGAGTGAGCTTCAAGACATTACTAGAACTGACGAGTTTTTCACTAGTTGTGAAATAGGACAGTTGTGGACATTTTGTGTGATTGGGAATGGAACAGTTGTAGGACAACTCGTCTGCAGGGAACCTTTAACTTCGACTAACGGCTTATGATAGTACAAATGATGAGCACATACTTTCGTTCAAGCAGGACTTGAAGAGAGTCTTGGCTTTAATTGTTGCTTCGGTGTCAACCTTGGGGTTAACAGGCTGGTCGAGCAAACCTGAAGACAGACAGCATAAACAGTCGGTTACTGAAACGTCATGTGAGTTTTATCAACGTATTTTATTTAAAGGGAGCGGCCGTGATGTAGTGGCTCGACGCTCGACTGCGGGTTTTAACCCAGTCATCTCCTTGAGAGATGCAATTTTTCGTTATTTGAAACCCCACCATGGCTCTTGCCTGGGGCCGCAATATAGCCCGACCATAAATATGGTCTAATAGCTGAACGCGGTTTCTGGGGCCTCTCCACGGTGATCCTCATCCACATGGTAGCACTTTGTGTCTTCAGGTGTTTATCGCTTGTGTGATGTCTGGTGGGGTAAAAATCTATTACTACTACTACTGCCTGCGGATTGGAAAGTCGTGGGTTTGGTTCCCGACGTAGCCAGACTTTTTTGTAAATGACCTTGGCTCCAAGGTCGACCCAGCCTTGAGTGGGTACCAGGTGTAGTCCCGGGAAGAAAAGGCTGGTTAACCATATCACTCACCGAGTGCCGATTGGTCTATAAAAATTTAGGTCTAGCCCTATATGCCTAACACGCTATACCACGTGGAAATGGGTCTTGACTTTAAAAAATAATTTACTGGAATGTTATTTAAAATAAATTGACAGCCATGAACTAGTTTTAACAGCGGCGCTGCAAGCTACGCTTCAGAGTTCCCGGGTAGTTAACGTCCGTTGGATATTTTCTTCAGGGTATGCTGGTGTGTTTTGAAATGAATATACAGACAGACTAGCTGGTATCACTAGGTGGTAAATTGATGCACGATAAGCTGAATGTTGTCAAGGCTCCTTCGGCAGCGAGAAAACATTGTACAAGAACGAACAGATCGTTACAGAATGCAGACTGACCAGGAGACCTAGTCAACATTCTGGACACGGAGGATAAGTAAAACAGACATATAATGAGACTGTTACTGGCCCAGTCCTAACTGCAACTCATCGATGGCTGTTGGAGAGAGGACGAAGTGCTCTTGTGAATCTTCTTCTTCTTCTTCTTCTTCTTCTTCTTCATAGCGTTCATCAGCTGTAAACTTTGGAGGAAAGTTATGGCTGTTCGTCTACTTCTGAACTCCTGTTCTAAAACCTGAGTAGAAGGACTACTCACTTTTGAGATGCACCTGCTTCTCATCCTCCAGTTTAGAAAAGGTATCAATGAGTCCCTTGTCGTCAGGGATAACGTTTAGTTTGTTCCAGTTGCCGCAGGAGAAGTCAAAAAAGTTTTCACACGGCTCCACGGATGGATCTATGGACTTCAGAATCCTCGAAGCTGAAAGAGAAAGTTAACTAATATATGTATGTATCATGAAAACATCGATAGAGTTTCTTGAAGATAAGGTAACTGAAAAAAAATATTTAATTTTCTGGGTTTGTTCTTTAGCTAATACATGTATGTATCATGAAAACATCGATAGAGTTCCGTGTCGACAAATGTACAAGAGAGAGATAATTTCACATGTATATTTCTGTAGCATGAATCAATAAAGGAACCTATGCATCTTGGAAGCTGAAAGATAGAGTAAACTTCATAATTTCTCTTCAGTTTATATGTTTATGTAGCTTGAAATAACGAATGGACTTCATTGTAGGGAAAGCTAGGAAATAAAGATCATTTCATGGATCTGTTTCATTAGTTAATATATTTATACATCACGAATCACTCACTGGACTTCAGTGTTCTAGAGACCACTGTTGGTGTTGGCATCTCTAGCAGCAGCCTTATGAATAAATTTACTGCACGTGCCTGTAAATTTTGCAGGGATAAATTTTTTTATACTAGTTTTCAAAGGCAAAAGTGAGCTTTAGGACAATCCGTTGAAAACATCAACGACGATGACTACTACGACCACTACCATTACTACGACGATGATGATCATTACTAATGTTGTGACTACTACTATTACTACTACCACGACCACCACCACCACGACCACCACCACCACTAACACTACAACTACTACAACGACGACGTCGACTACTACTACTAGGATTACTACTACTAACTACTACGACTACTACCATTGTAACGAGGACGATGATTACTATTAAGACTAATAATACTACTAGCACGACCACCACCACCACCACCACTACTACTACTACTACTACTACTACTACTACTACTACTACTACTACTACTACTACTACTACTACTACTACTACTACTACTACTACTACTACTACTATTACTACTATGACGACGACGACGTCGACGACGACTACTACTACGACTACTACCACTAATACGATTACTACTGTTGCTACCGCGACTACGATTATTACTACTATTGTGACTACTACGATTACTACCACCACTACTACTACTACTACAAAGATTACAATTACTACTACTGCTACTACTACTACTGCTGCTACTACTACCCCAATACTACTACTACTACTGCAATATTACTACTACAATAGTGCTACTTCAGCTACAATACTACTACTACTGCTACTATAGTACTACTACTACAATACTACGACAACTACACTACTACTACTACTACTACTACTACTACTACTACTACTACTACTACTACTACTACTAATACTACTTTTACTACGACTACTACTACTACTAATACTATTACGGTTGCTTCTACTTCACTATTCACAAACTTGAAAATAAAAGTTAGTTTCACTATAAAGTAAAGTACCCTTTCAACTCCAGTGGCGTATTCAGCACATAGACACTGGACTAACTGGCTCTCAGTAGATGATGTGGTCGCCTTTATTTCCCAGGACATTTTAAAAGTAAAGTAAAGTAAAGGACCGTTTTCCATGCCTTCAGGGGTAGTGGGCATATAGGGCTAGACATATATTTTATAGACATCTGATGGGTGATGTGGCCTTAACCTCTCTTGATGTGCCAGGGTCAATATAAGAGTCAGGGTCATTTGTGAAAAAACGTGTGGCTCCGTCAAGACCCGAACCAACTACCTTTCGATCCACAGGCGAGCGTCTAGTCGCTCCATCACGGCAGTTACCCATGAAATTTCAGGCTGAGTAATATCTTTATGCAACATGAAACAAGCTATGCACTTTTTGGATCAACTTTATCAGCCGGACATTTTTTATAGAACTGACCTTGGCCAACAGGTCGACCTAGTCTAAAAGGGGAGCTAGGCAATGTGTCTGGAAGTAAAAGCAGTCAGTGTGATATTCACCAGAGAAGTGGCCAGAAACGATACAATCAGGAATGAGGTCCTGCGAGAAAAAGTCGTCACCAAACCAATTCACGCAAAGACAGCAAATCAAATGTTGTGCCCACTTATAGAATACCTAGTGACATCATACCATACAAGGCCTACACCAAACACCACACGAGGAGATGGACGAAGATCACGAGGTAGACCAAGAACAACATGGAAAGATAACATCAGAGAAACTCACAACAGCAGGATGTGTCTATGGTAGAGGCGACCAGAAAAGCAAGAAGCAGAACCTCATATCTCCTTCGACACAAGAAACGGTAAGAGAGAAGTAAAGAGGAAAAAGGGTGTTAGCAAAGATAAAAATAGCAAACGCTCACCGGCATTGACACACCCTGGAGTGACACAAACGTTCTTGAACGTTAATCCTGGCGGGATCTCATAACCCGGTTGTGATTTCGACTGATTTGCATGTCGGGATTGTTCGGAGTCACAGAGTCCAGACGAGGCAGCTCCTGTCTGAGGAGTCGCTCCCTTGCTTGCATCTTCAGTGTCGTCGCCTGTAGTAGGGTGAGAGAAATCAGATGGAGGAAGTCAAGATTTGTTGGACGTTTTATGAAAACATGAAAACAACGGGCCTGGTGTGGTGGGAGAAACTTGAAAAATTAGTGACCCCACATACACATGAGGGACAAAGAATACGAAGAACTACCACGAGGTAAGGTGGGGGTGGGGGAGGCTCCGTTCTATTACAGGATTTCCCGGTGGGGGTTTGGAAAGGCAGGGAGGAAAAAGGGGGGGGGGGGTTAGGTCTTTGTCTTGTTTAACTCCATAAATTATTAATAATAACAATAACATATTATATGGGTAATACTGCATAAAATATTAATAATAACAACAACATATTACATGGTTAAAAGGAATAATAATATTTTTATATTACATATGGCGCTGCGAGGAGTTGTCAGGGGGTCTGGTCGACGTTCAAAACTCAAGGATAATGCGAGATGAATATGTAATCGGACAGTTACTGGTGCCATCGGTATTGGAACTCTTCGCCTGCTGCTGAAGATAGGGACAGAGCGCTTATGTGACTGTCCCAAGTGCTGTGGTGTCGATTCTTAATTCAATATTCAACATTGAATTGAAAACAATTTGAAATGTAAAATTTATATTTCAAAAGAGAAATTCTATACATGGTGGCGGCAGAAAAATTAGTGGCCCGCTGGAAGCTGCTTAACCACCATTCGCATTTTCCAGGTCGCTGTGGCATAAAGTGCTTAAGCTCATACGATCTGGCACCCGTGATTTCCAGTAAAATCTCAGCTTCCTGCTAGTGGTAGCTCTCTCAGTCAATGGGGCACCAGTGAGATTATTAGACCAACTGGCTGGTTGTCACGGGCACTGATGAATGACACATAACATCGGCTTATGTGATACCCAAATATATATATATATATATATATATATATATATATATATATATATATATATATATATATATATATATATATATATATATATATATATTTATTTCTCAAACCTAAGTGACTTGGGTTCAGTTGAGTTGATTCAAGAACCCACATCACAGCACTCGCAGCATTCCCACAAGCGCTCCGTCTCCATCTTCAGCAGTCAGCGTAGTTTTCTAGTACCAATGACGCCCGTAGTATTCTGATGATACGTCCATCTTTCCTTTCCTCTGAGCGTCGAGCATCGGCCAAATCCTTGTTCCTAGATGATCCTTATCCGCATGGTGTCATTTCATATCACCGGTTTTTTTTTTAAATGTCGGTGGTAAATTAAACCACACAACCTGTGCAGTACGTAACAACAGCATCATTCTCACCAGACTTTGGCGATCCATTTGCTCTTCTGAAACTTAACCAGTACGCAACCACGGGAGGGAAATTTCTGAGAGAGGCTGCACGAATTACTAGAAGATATCAAATCAGGAATTACGGTATAGGAGAAAACGTAGACACCGTTCGAATACTGAATTACATACCAGGCAGCAAAAAGCATGGTTTGACCTCTTAGAGAGATGTCCTCGTAATGACATACATACCATACGCGGTTTATTACTAAAGAGGAGAATGATATGGGTCTCGAGGTAGACCAGGAACAACATGAAAAGATCACATCAGAGAAACTCTACAACAGTATGTTTGGCGTGTCAATGGTCCATGCCGTCGGGAAAAAAAGCTATAACATGTTATTGTATCTGGTAACAGAGGAAATGATTTTAAAAAAAAAGCCTGCTTACCTTGGACTGATGGTTTCGACGCTAAAACAATGATAAGTGCGATGATGACGGCAGCAAGAAGAAAGCAAGTGAAGAGAAGCACCAGCTCTAACTTGGTCCATCCACACACCCAGGGCCGCCTCCGCTGTGATGGGACACGCTGACTTCTGCAACAGAAATAGACAAAACAACGATGCTGTGACAAAGTGAGGTATTCAGAGTTAAATAAAGAGGTAACTACGTGTCTCTAAGAAATATCATACACGTGTCATTCATTATACGTATGTCTTTTATCAGACACCTGTCATTTATCATATGGTGTTCTTTGTGGAGTTGCTGGTAAAGTAGAGGATCCCTTTACACTCCTTCAGACGTATTGGGCACAAAGGGCTAGACATATATTTTATACATCAACTGGCACTCGTTGGGTGATGTGGTTAACATCATACCGGCCGTCTCTACGTCCCATGACTTTACACGGTACCCATTTTAAGGCTGTGTTGATATGTGAGCCAAGGTCATTAAAAAAAATCCAGCTCTGTTCAGATCTGAACCAAGACTTTCAGATCCACAGGCGAGAGTCTAGTCCCTACACCACGGTGGCTCCTATGAGTTGCCAGAAGATAAAGAGATAGATATAGAGATAGAAACACAGAGAGAGAGAGATAAAGAGAGGGGGAGAAGAGACAGAGAGAGAGAGAGAAAGTTAAAGATAAGTGAAATAGTTCGGTCACATTAAAAGACATAAGACTCTTTAAAAAAAAATTCCGCTTGAAATCCATCGCAGACAACCTTCATTGTTAGTTTAGTTACTTAGTCGACGGACTGTCCTTATTGTACATAGGACCATTAAGTCCGCAATTGCTCGGATCCTCTCTTCTTTCAATCCTGCAGCGTGAAGCGGCTGATGACACCAGTCCTATTTTGGTTTCTTTTTCTTCTTAGGCTTCCTGCGTAGTTCTCTTGTCTGGCCACAGCCAGTTTAACTTGCTGATCTGGCAGTTTGGTCTTGGTTGCAGATTCATTTAGTTCTTAGTATATCAGCCTGGTCATGTCTGTCTTCATTGTAGAGGCAGCCAACGACTGATTGGCTGAGCCTCACCAATCTTTGACCTATGTGTCTAACCCCCCCCCCCCCCAAAAAAAAAAAAAATCACTCCTAATAACATCAGAAAACGAGTACTAAAATATATCGAGCCTGTTCTGTTGTATGGTAGTGAATCTTGGAATGTGAGCAAACAAATTAAGACAAGTTTGGAGACAACTGAGATGTGGTTCTTGGGAAGAATGTTGAGAATACCATGGACTGCCAGAATAACTAACAGTGATTGCCTGAAAATGGCTAATTAAACTAGAACGTTTTATACAACAATGAGAAGGGGACAATGTTCTCTGGTCATGTGATAAGAGAAGAAGCACTAGAAAAATATCATGAGGAGTTAGAAGATTACTGGTACAAGAGGCAGACCAAGAGAAATGATGATGGATGGCTTAAGACAGTGGCATGGAGGAACATCATCAGTAGAATGGCTCCAGAACACTAGAGACCGAGATCTGTGGAGATGCATGAAGGCCTACGCCAGCTGGCAAAGGCACTTGATGATGATAATGATATATCTTTGGAAATAGCAAGAAACGCAAAACCACTGGCGTTGTACTGAACGAATTAATGTTTTCCAGAATCCCCAGAGCAGTGGCTGTCATCCTTCCTCATTCCGTAACCGTTTAATAAAGTTCCCCCATCTTGTGACGATCCCCAGACAATTGTTTTCCTTCATAACTTCAAGGAATTTATGTTTTCCGATGGTCTTGGGCGACCCCAGTGAAAAGTCCGTTCGATCTAAAAAGGGTCACCACTGGCAAGTTGAGAATCGCTGCCTTGGAGACTCTGCTAACCAGTCCGCATGGCTGTTTTCTGGCCCCTGTACATTCGTGACTCCCAGAGAGAGAGAGAGGTAGAAAGAAAAGGAGGCAAATAGCAAAAGCAAGAGTCTGCGAATGGGTAATCACTCGAGAAAAAAGACAGAGAGAGACAGAGCGAGAGAAAGAAAACTTAACATAGCTAAATAGAATAGACAAAGTAAGCAAGAGAAAATGAGAGAGCGAGAGAGAGAGTACGATGTAAAGTATAAGCTAGATAGCACAAGAAACCGAGAGAGAGGGAGAGGGATATACAACAACAAATCAGAGAGAGAGAGAGAGAGAGAGAGAGAGAGAGAGAGAGAGAGAGATAACATAAACACAGACAGAGAGATAATTAAGCTTGCAAAAAAACGAGCTTGCGAGATACCATCGAGTGATCGACAAGGAGATTGAGAGAAGAAAGGGTGAGCGAGAGAGAAAAACAGAGAGAAAACGAGGGAGAGTGAAAACCAGAGAGAGAGAGAGAGAGAGAGAGAGAGAGAGAGAGAGAGAGAGAGAGAGAGAGAGAGATAGACCACACACAAAGGAACATTCAAAAACCACAAACACAAACAGAAAGAAGCCATTAGACAGTCCTTTACCCGGGTAGAATGACCTTGGTTACGCCCTCTTCGGCAGTAACGTATTTCGCGTTGCAGGTTTTCCCATTCATTGCAACATTTGGCATATTTGGGATCTGGATGCACTTTTCTAGCTCCAGCGATACAGCGGCCAGCCCCTGCTCGTCCGGACACGGATGTCTGGGAAATACAAATGTTTAACACAGTAGGTCATCGGACTTTTGAGAAACATTTGGCAGTAAACAAGTAAAGTAAAAGACCCTTTTCCCACGCCTTTAAGCGTTCTGTGCTCATAGGACTAGACCTATTTTTTTTTAGAACAATCGGTACTTGATCAGTGATGTGGTAAACATTACGCCGACCGTTTTTACTTTCCTGGGCGTGTACCTGGTACCCACTCAAAGCTGGGTTAGCCTGGGAGTCAAGGTCATTTTAAGGAGAAAAAAGTACGGCTCCGTTAAGATCCGAACCCGCGTCTTTTCGATCCGGAGGGAAGGTTTAAGGTTTTTGGTTTTGAGGTTTTGAACAACGGATCAACATCACGGGTAGTAACTCATAAGTGCCCCGTTCTTCCTCTAACTCAAGTCTGGGCCATAAGAAGCTCAGCACAGAGCACAGGCTCTGTAGCACCGGCGAGGATCCTGAAATACTTTGGGTAGATTATTAACTGCAAATTTTGCCCGGCAGCACCGTTAAGCTACTCTTTTCGATTTCCGACTGACAAGGGATTTTTTTACGTGCTCATCAATGCACACGGGCGTCCGAACTCACTACCCTGAGACCAGGGGGAATTACTAGAAGTCCAGTTCTACATAACACAATCCCAGCCTCTACAGGGTATTGAACCCGGAATCTCTAGCATTTGAGGCGGACATCATACCTCGAGACCAAGCAGCTCCCACAGGTGAGCGTCCACTCTCTATGTGTGGTATTAGCAGTTATTACTGAAGGCGGTATAATAATATTAAAAAGTCAATGTGCTACGGAAATAATGCATTCTTGTACTAATGTAACATGTTAAGGAGCCTTTCCCACGCTTTCAGGTGTGTTAGGCATTTACTGCTAGATCTAAATTTTATCGTCCAGTCGGCGCTTGTTGAGTGATGTGGTCTACATCACGCCAGCCACCTTTACTTCTCACGACCTTGTAAAGTACTCATTCAAGGCTGGAACCGATGTCATATTTGAAGAAAAATGCCCGGCTTCGCCAGGATCTGACTTTCTGATACCCAGGAAAGTTGTCTGTATGAATGTAAACATCGAAGTTTTTCGTCTCCACTCTGAAGCTTGGCTGCAATAGATCGCCGACACTCTCTGTCTTCGGAAATAATTGCACTTTCTCATAGTTATATTCGCCCATCTCTTCGTTTTCTTCTTCTCCTATGCCTTTATAACACCCAGTGGAGAAGAGGCCCTCAACCAACTCACGCCAAGTCGTTCTGTCCTTCGCTATCGCTCTCTCCATGTCTGCCCCATTTTTTAAACTTCAGCCTCTAGATCCCTACTCCAAACTCCATGTTTTTAGTCATCCTTTATTTCTATGCCCCTGTGGGTTCCAGTGCAAAAGACGTTGTAGTTATACTGTTCTCAGGTTTTTGCAAGGCCAGCGTCTTTTCGTCACCTCGTATATATCTCAGTCCTGGTTGTACTGTATGCGTACGTACTCGAATGTGTATTTATGATTGTATGATTCTCTTTGTATATGTATGAATGTATGAATGAGTGCTGAATGTGTGCATGCGTGTATTTATGAGTGAGTATTATGAGTTTATATGCATGCGTGTATGTATGTTTGTATGTAATCACATGTGTAGGAGTATCTGTGAGTGTTTATGCGTGTGAGCGTATGCATGAGTAGGTGAACGTATGTATCGTTACGAATCCTTGTCTTCATGTGTGTGTGTGCGCGTGTTTGTGCGTGATTGTGTGTTTGTGTTTGTCTCTGTGTGTGCGCACACCTGTGTGTGTATATGTGTGTTTCAACTATTAATATTATTTAAACTGAAAGGAACATAGCATTATTTACAGGTAAACTACAACTGCTGTGTGAAAGATGAGTGGTTGGAAAGGCTGAATAAAAGACGGGCCTGTGAGCCCAGTTTGTGACCCTTTACAAAATAAATATCATTCGTTCGTCTCTCAAATTTTGTTCTCCTCATGTGGATTCCGGAAACGCACTTGGAAGGTGGGTGGGAGGGGGAGAGGTACGACCCACTGCTCCCAACATGCCGTAAATGGCTACCAGTTAGGGGCATTTTTAAAAAAGTCGGAGTGCATCTGCCTGAGAGGCGAGAAACCAATAGCCTGCATACGAATAAGCCAGATCTGACAAATGGATGTGCATGCAAAACCCAAGTTCTGGAACAGGACCAAAGTCCAGAAGTGGGCGAACAACAAGCCGGTAAACGCTACGAAAAAAAAGAACGAAGATTAATTTAGTTCGTTTTACTGATGATTTCTCCCTGTTGTATCGCTGTCCATCTCCTGCTGGGCATCCTTTCAGTTTTTTTTAAATTTCGGCGTGGATTTTTTTAAACAATATTTACATCATGTCCTGTTTTTATTTCTATCAGCAACTCTCTTTCCGTTTCCAGCATCTTAACAATTTCTGTACAGTAAAATTGATTGTTCCTGTTGCCTTTATTTTATTGTTTTTGTTGCAATTTTTCGATTGTTCTAGATGCCATTGTTTGATTGTTCCAGTTGCCATTATTTGATAGTTCATGTTGCCATTATTTGATTGTTAATGTTGCCATTATTTGATTGTCAACGTTGTCATTATTTGATTGTTTGTTCCTGTTGTCATTATTTGATTGTTTTTGTTGCAATTATTTGATTGTTCTAGTTGCCATTACTTGATCGTTTTTGTTGCTATTATTTAAATGCTGTTGTTGCTATTATTTGATCGTCTTTGTTGCTATTTTTTAAAATCGTTTTCGTTGCTAAGAACTGCGACTTATTTTGCTGTATATCCACATTTTAATCTATTCAGACTGACATAAGTGCGTGTTCCCTAATCCAGCTTTCTGCGCAGTTCTCATTTTTAATGCGTTGTTTATCTCCTGATTGTGTAAAACATTTCACAATGTTCGGTGTTAATGTTTTGTTTATCTGGATAATAATATCGTAATTTGTTGTTTGTCTCAATATCATATTTTAATTCGTGTTTTCTCTAGATATTATGTTTCTCTTCCTTTATTAAACATATCTATGCCTGTTCGTCTTCATTTTTTCACCGTCAAATTACTTTATTTACTTTTCTTATTATAACCTAGCGGCCACGCGTTGCTGTGGCTCAGCCTAGCGACAAGAAAAAGAAAGAAAATAGAATGCGCATATGTCTAATATGGTTAATATGTCAATCATTGTCTGCGCAGATTAGGGTTAGTCTGGTTTGCCGATTCTATCACACGCAACACATGTGTGTGTATTTAAATTAGTTAAAATATGGTTGTTTGTTTATCACATGCTAAACATTTTTTCTTCATTTTTTTTTCAAAAAGTAAAGCTTAGAATTAAACTTCTAATTAACCAACAAATTGGCGAAAAAAATTAAAATAGCCAAGGAAGGGTGATTAAAGTATTAGTAATCAAAACATGAGAATTTAAAATTATGTTTTAAGCTACTCCTCTCTCCCTCTCCGAAGGATTTGAAATTCATATCCTGGTGATATTAATTTTACATTGACCTTGGCAAATGGGAAGCATGAATTGTACTGAGAAGTGAATGCGGCCAGTGTAATATTTACCACACAATTAATTATATAGCTTGATGCAGATTTTTTAGGTCAACAGTCAAAGTTCGCCTACAACCCTCGCCTGGAACGAAGAAACGGAAAACAAATTTGACCTCTGGAAAGCAAAACTAAGATGCCGATGTAATCGTGGCTGGAGCTATGTAGTTCGTGCTTTTAGTGAAACTCTTATATCAAAACACTCGCGTATTCGAATGCAAAGTTGCGCTAAAATTTGAAAGCATTCGGCGAAGAATTGTCGGCATACAGCTTCATGCAGATTTCTGAGGTCAACAATCAAAGTTCACCTTCAGCGCAAGGAAAAAAACCAGCGCTGGTAATGCAACAACCAATGTGATCGGCGCTGGAGCTACATAGTTCGTGCTTTATGCAACATTATTTTATAAAAACACTCGTGTATTCGAATGTATCATTGTCTCAAAATTTGGAAGCAATCAGTGAAGAACTTTCGGGATTAGCTATCATTAACAGAGAAACATTTACATATTTTAAAAATTTAGATTACTATATGTTCTAGATAAGTTACTACATGGTCAAGATAAATTACTACATTATTAGGATAAATTACTACATTCTCAAGATAAATTGCTACATGTTCAAGATGAACTGCAACATGTTCGAGATAAATTGCTAAATGTTTGAGATAAATTGCTATATGTTCAAGATAAACTACTGCATGTTCAAGATAAATTGCTAAATGTTCAAGATAAACTACTGTATGTTCAAGATAGATTACTACATGTTTCAGATAAAATACTGCATGTTCAAGATAAACTACTACATGCTCAAGATAAACTACTGCGTGTTCAAGATAAACTACTGCGTGTTCAAGATAAACTACTGCGTGTTCAAGATAAACTACTAAATGTTCAAGATAAACTACTACATGTTCAAGATAAATTACTACATGTTCAAGATAAACTAATACATGTTCAAGATAAATTACTGCATGTTCAAGATAAATTACTAAATGTTCAAGATAAATTACCACATGGTCAAGATAAACTACCACATGGTCAAGAAAAACGACTACATGTTCAAGATAAATACTGCATGATCAAGATAAATTACTGCATGATCAAGATAAATTACTGCATGATCAAGATAAATTACTGCATGATCAAGATAAATTTACTATATAATCAAGATAAATTACTACAGGATCAAGATAAATTACTTTATATTCAGGATAAATTACTACATGTTCAAGATAAATTACTACATGATCAAGATAAATTACTACATGTTCCATAAGTTTTCCCCTCTTTTTTTATTTTTAGCATTCACGGGCTTTAAAATTTGGCGAAAAGTTCAAGTTGTCTGTCCACTAAAAGTTCATCTTGACCCAGAAT